ACCAAACAGAAATGAAAAGATATTCTTTCTGTTCTGTTTTGGACCAAAATCATATTTTAACAGTTTTTTTTTTTGCCTGAACTTTGCATTTTTACATGTTGTATCAGCTAAATGTTAGTTTGCATGCATATCATGAAACTTTACTTTTTACAAAGTCATTTATTTAGAACATTCAGAAATGTTTTCATGAATGTTAGCTTGTCGAAGTAAGCTAAAGCTAGCTGTCAYGYTGTCTCATCTTAAAAAAAACTTTCTCTCCTCCTGGCCACACCTCCTCGCTCACCCCCCCTCACCCCCATCAGAGTCTCCACTTTATGCATGTATCAAATTTGCTTTGGGGGCGGAGTTATCCTTTCACGGGGGGGTAAGTTCCACTTTAAGTTTGGTTAGAAATTGTTCTTAATTACCTGAGAAATATCTCTAAATTAAAGACTATGTTARCTAAATCGAACCTGGAGATGATTATTCGTGCTTTTATCTCTTCTTGTTCATACTTTTGTAACTCTCTTTTTATTTGTTTTAACAAATCTGCAGTCACTCTCTGATTGGTTGGCGCCGCGTCAACCAATCAGAGAGACTCCACTGTGTGACGTAGCGACATATTTCCAGACGGGACAGTTTACTGAATGATGTCCACTAACCTGAAACAGACGGAGCGGAGCTCTTTAGTTGGTACAGGATGCTGCAGTGAGGCTTTTAGCAGGCATTAACAGAATTACATTGGCTACCTGTCAAATTCAGAATTGATTTTAACATTTTAGTCTTGACTTTCATGCTGCGTTCACACCGAACGCGATTTCAGCATCAGGAGCATCAGGTTTACATACAAAGTCTATGGTGGACGCGCTTCAATCAGCGTCGGGAAGTTCTGCGGCGCCTCAAGCGCGATTAGAGCAGCGCGATTTGAACGATCTGAGCGTTCGACGTGCTTGAGGCGCAAATCACTGAAGTTAGAAAATCTGAACTTTTGAAGCTCGACACGCCGCGTCAACCAATCAGAGAGACTCCACTGTGTGACGTAGCGACATATTTCCCGACGGGACAGTTTACTGAATGATGTCCACTAACCTGAAACAGATGGAGAGGAGCTCTTTAGCTGAAATCGAGTTCCGGTAGTCGGTGTCCTGACAGGAGATACCTGCATCAATGCGTGACAGCGGCTCATCAGACTGGAAAAATAGTCCTGAAAGCGAGCTGTGAGCCTCTACTCTGAAT